ATTTCTTCTTTACAAATTATGATTAATATTAACAATGTTTTCATTGAATATTAATATTTTCTTACCCACTTTTCCTCTACCAATAATTACGATTCTTACCCACTTTTCTATCACTTTTCTATTATTATTATTATTATTATTATTATTATTATTATTATTATTATTATTATTCTATTCTTACCCACCACTTCCTAATATTATTAAAATTATTTTCTTACCCATTTCTTCTCTACCAATTATTTTTTTTCTTATCCAACTCTTTTCTACCTATTATTATTATTATTATTATTATTATTATTTTCTTATCCACTTCTTCTCCACCAACTATTATTATTATTATTAAAATTATTTTCTAACTATAATTATTAAAAATAATTATTAACATTATTTTCTTACCCATTTCTTCTCTACCAATTAATTTTTTCTTATTCAACTCTTTTCTACCTATTATTATTGTTGTTGTTATTTTCTTACCCATTTCTTCTCTACCAACTATTATTATTATTAAAATTATTTTCTTACTCATTTCTTCTCTACCAATTATTATTATTATTGTTAACATTATTTTCTTACCCATTTCTTCTCTACCTATTATTATCATTATTATTATGAAATCCTAGAAAAGGCTCCTGGCCATTGCTTGATAACAAGTTATTAATGCTACTACGGTGAAGGAAGGAACATTGCCATACTTGTTTGCTAAGTACCAATAGATGGTGGCACAGCCGTAGCCCGTGGCCACATTGAGGTGCGATCTTGGCTTCGGAAGGGAGGACAGGAAGTGGCTGCTGCAGCGGCCATCTTGCCAGGTGACCAAAGGGCTGACTGCGTCGGGCTCAAAGTGCCACCTGCGGTTGTGCTCCACCCACTTGCACCCTGCAATGAGAAAATCGAGAAGTGATGGAGTATTTGTGCTCCCAAGGGCTACTCTGTGCAATGCAACAGCTAACAAATAAACTTCACTGCAGCAAATGAGCAGGAAGGAGGGCAGCTATGGAGAACAAATGCAAGAAATGGATCCGATAGAGAACAATCCTTATCTAAACATAAAATCATAGAAAGAAGGCGCTTCCACTAGACCCTGATGCAGAGAGTTCCACTGGTGAACAGCTCTTCCTCGTGTTCACGGGGAATCTCCTTTCCTGTCATTTGGACCTGTGCATAGACATAAACATAGGATCATACAGTCAGAGGCTGAATGGTCATCTGTTGGGAGCAAATGAATTGTATCTTTCTATCTGGCATTATCATCATCATGATTTTTATCATTCAGTCCAACTCCCATCTATCAAGCAGGAAGACAGAATTACTACTATATTATTATCCATTATGCTCTATTGTTGTTGTTGTTGAATTACATTTATATTCCGTCATTCTCAACCCGCAGGGGACTCATATATATGGCAAACATTCAATGCCGTAGACACTTCCAAAGTAATGTAATCAGCATGACTGCATGCAGCGCCATTACCTTTCCACCAGAGCGTTACCTATTGATCTCCTCACATTTGCATCTTTTTGAACTGCTAGATTGGCATAAGCTGGGGCTAACAGTGTAAGCTCACCCTGCTCCCCAGATTTGAACCTGAGACTTTTCGATCAACAAGTTCAGCAGCTCAGCGGTTTAACCCACTCCACCACTGGGGGCTCCTTATTATACATACCTATTATTATTATTATTATTATTATTGACTGGATTGACCTTGAAGGAGCTGGGAGTGGAGACAGCTGACAGGGAGCTCTGGCGTGGGCTGGTCCATGAGGTCACAAAGAGTTGGAAACGACTGAACGAATGAACAACAACTATTATTATTATTATTATTATTATTATTATTATTATTAGCCATTATTACATATTATCTATTACTATTCATTATTATCCATTATTTATTTATTTTATTTATTTAGGACTTTTAAATACCATCCTTCACACCCTGAACAGGACTCAGAGAGGCTTACAAGTTATTTGTACATATAGTATATATTATTATATATTATCTATTATTAGTATTGAATTACTAATATTATGTATTTATTTTATTTATGTCATTTTACTCCGCCTTTGTCACCCAAGGGGATTGAAGGGTGCTTACCCATTATTGAAATATTATATTATTATACATTATTATTAGTATCTATGATGATAATGATTATTAGACTCATTGAGGTGCATAGCCGACAAAACCCTTTTCTTTTCTGTCTCTATTTTAGATAGATGGCCACATTCATTCATATGTGTGTGTGTATTGCAAGAATAAATGCAAATTGCATCCAATTAAACACAATAACGAAGCAAAAGGCCTTTTTGAAGGCAGATTTCAAAGCAATCTCCAGTAAAACAATAAAAGTAAAGCTTCCCGAGAGACACAAATCCTGCACTCCTTGCCATTTTGGAAAAGGACCAGCTTTTAAAATGTCCATTAACACAGAAAGGAGAAATAACAAAGAGATTAAAACCACAAAAAATGTCTTGTTCCTTCTTTTAAAAAACAAACAAACACAAAGCAACAAAAGCCTCCATTTGCAGCAAAGAGAAAAATATGTAGCTTTGTTTTCAATTCCAAAAGGAGAAAAACATCAGTTTTAAGAGCTGGACAATATTGTCTGTGTAAGTGGACAGCCCGGCCAAATACATACATATTTTCACTTTTATTATTTATTTATTCATTCACGACATTTATATGCTGCCCTTCTCACCCCGAAGGGGACTCAGAGCGACTTACAAGATATATATACATATATTATATTATTAGCATAGTACAAGTATTATAAATTACTATATTGTACTATACCATTATATTGTAATATTATTAGTAATATTAAGTGTAATATAAAATATATAATTATAATATCATATTATTATTAGTATTATATTGTCTAACATTATAATAATTGTAAATATTATATGTATATACAATGTATTATATTATACTATTAGCATAGCACGGGAGACAAGATGGAACTTGTTTATTATTTGTATAGATAGATAGATAGATAGATAGATAGATAGATAGATAGATGCTCCATGCAGTCATGCCAATGGCCACAAGACCTTGAAGGTGTCTACGGACAACGCCGGCTCTTTGGCTTAGAAATGGAGATGAGCACCACCCCTCAGAGTCATCTTTACCTTTTGTATAGATATTGTGGTTTGATTATTATGTTTTATGCTATGCAATGTTTTTGTTTACATGTTGTCTGACTCTTTTGAGTGCCGATCTGGGAGAAAAGCAAGATAGAAATAAAATAAATAAATAAATAATCGGAATCATAATAATATAGCAGTAGCTGACCAAAAGGTTGGCAGTTCGAATCCAACTGATACTCAGAATTAATAATAATAATAATAATAATAATAATAATAATAATAATAATAAACAAATAAATAATGGATACTAATGAATAATAATAGATAATATATAATAATGGATAATGAATTATAATATTAATAAAGTATAATAAGGAGTCCCCAGTAGCACAGTGGGTTATGGCGCTGAGCTACTGAACTTGCCGGTTCGAATCCGGGGAGCGGGGTGAGCTCCCGCTGTTACCCCCAGCTTTTGCCAACCTAGCAGTTCGAAAACATGCAAATGTGAGTAGATGAATAGGTACCGCTTCTGCAGGAAGGTAATGGCGCTCCATGGAGTCATTTATTTATTTACTACATTTATATACCATCCCTCTCAACCCACAAGCAACTCGGGGCAATTTAGAGTCGGCACCAAGACCATAAAATACAATTAAAAACATTAAGATAATATAAAACCATAGCATGGTTATGACTTAATGTCAAGGGAAAATCTTTACCTTTATTCACGAGATAAGAACAATAATAATATGTAAAATAATAACAATAATAATGGATATTAATATAATAATAATAGTTATAGTCCCCGGTGGTGTAGTTGGTTAAACTGCTGAACTGCTGAGCTTGTTGACCAAAAGGTCACAGGTTCGAATTCGGGGAGCAGTGTGTCAGCCCCAGCTCCTGACAACCTAGCAGTTCGAAAACATGCAAATGTGAGTAGATCAATAGGTACTACTCCGGCGGGAAGGTGACAGTGCTCCATGCAGTCATGTCAGCCACATGACCTTGGAGGTGTCTATGGACAATGCCGGCACTTCGGCTTAGAAATGGAGATGAGCAGCAGACTAGACTTAATGTTTACCTTTAACTCCCAAATACAGTTTCTAATGGGACCAGTCGTAAAACCCCATACAACAAACAATGACCACTCCTCATGTTTATCATTACCGAAGACATAACCAGAAATCAGAAAGACATCCTTTTAGGCCTAAGACCTGCTCTGCTTCGGAAACCCGAAGTGTGTTTGGGCTTTCAAAATGAGCCACACTTGGAAGAAAGAGGAAACATAGACTCAGATGACAAAGAATGAGAGGGAAGAGTTCTGACCTCGGCTTGTTTTCCAGAAGACGACGCCATGCATCTGTCCAGAGACGCTGATGCGGCTGACGCGCTGCAGCGATTGCGGTGGGAGCTTTCCCAGGCAGGCGTCCAGGGCGGCCACGATTCGGCGGACATCTTGCTCATCCCTCTGTCCACAACGGGACAAAACGAAGGGAAGTAAGTAAGCGAGAAGTGGAAAATCCTCCAAAGTATTATTTGGTGGATCCAATGGACTTCTGTCCATGATTCAGCTAGACTTGAATGCAAAGGAGAGGCAGGAAATACAATTTTTTTTAATTATTATTATTATTATTATTATTATTATTATTATTATTATTATTTACGACATTTATATGCCACCGTTCTCACCCCCGAAGGGGACTCAGAGCGGCTTACAAGGTATATATTACATACAATATATTATATTATTAGTACAGTACAATATCAGCATTAAACATTACTATATTGCACCATACCGCTATATCGTAATATTATTAGTAATATTACATGTAACATAAATATATAATTATAATATAATATTATTATATTGCATTACATTATATTATAAATATTATATGTATATACAATATATTATATTATATTATATTATTAGAATAGCACAGGAGACAAGGTGGAACTTATTGTTGTTGTTGAAGGCTTTCATGGAATCACTGGGTTGCTGTGAGTTTTCCAGGCTGTGTGGCCATGCTCCAGAAGCATTCTCTCCTGACATTTCGCCCACATCTACGGCAGGCTGTGGTCTGTTAGAATCTAGGCAAGTGAGGTTTATATATCTGTGAAAAAATGTCCAGGACAGGAGAAAGAACTCTTGTTTGTTTTACAATGAATGTTGCAATTGGCCACCCTGATTAGCAATGAATGGCCTTGCAGCTTCAAAGCATGGCTGCTTCCTGATTGGGGGAATCCTTTGTTGGGAGGTGTTAGCTGGCCCTGATTGTTTCCTGTCTGGAATTCCCCTTTTTTCTGAGTGTTGCTCTTTATTTACTTTATTTCAATACTGGTCATCAGATTTCTTTCTCCCACCCTGGACATTATTCCACAGGTATATAAACCTCACTGGCCTAGTTGCCAACAGACCTCACAACCTCTGAGGATGCCTGCCATAGATGTGGGCAAAACATCAGGAGAGAATGCTTCTGGAGCATGGCCAGACAGCCTGGAAAACTCACAGCAACCCTGCCCTAGATTATCTTCTTCTTTGGAGGCTTTGAAGCAGAGGCTGGGTGGCCATCTGTCAGGAAGGTTTTGATGGTGCTTTTCCTGCATGAAGTCAGAAAAGAAGGGGGTTGGACTGGATGGCCTTTAGGGTATCTCCCATCTCAGTGATGTTTTACCTTCGGTCCAGAAGTGTCATGGCTCTCTATGGCGGCCCCGGTGGCTTCGGTGCAGCTTGCAATGACCGCTGGCACTTGGCGTGTCTCCTCCATTAAGACAGCTTTCACCGAAGTTGTTCCCAAGTCAATGCCCAAAACGCAGGGAGACCCCACAGCATTCGAAGCCTTGTCCTCCCCTCTCGGTGGCGCCTGCATTCTCTGCAATGAGAAAACAGGGGAGAATATGAATGTCCTTTTGCATAATAATAATCACCATATCGTATTCTACATTATTGTAATTATTTATTATTTACATTTTATTATTATATCAAATATTGTATTCTACATCATTATCGAATTATATATTATTAGACCAAATATTTTATTCTACATTAAGTAAAGGTAAAGATTTCCCCTTGTGTCTGACTCTGGAGGATGGTGTTCAAGTCCATTTCTGAGCCAAAGAGCCGGTGTTGTCCGTAGACACCTCCAAGGTCATGTGGCCAGCATGACTACATGGCGCGCCGTTACCTTCCCGCAGAAGCAGTACCTATTGATCTCCTCACATTTGCATGTTTTCGAACTGCTAGGTTGGCTGAAGCTGGGGCTAACAACAGGGGCTCACCCCGTTCCTTGGATTCAAACCTCCAACCTTCCAGTCAGCAAATTCAGCAGCTCAGCAGTTTAACCCACTGCACCACCAGGTGCTCCTCATTATTCTACAAAATTATTAATCTTATATCAAAGTTCGTATTCAACATCATTATTGAATTGTATATTATTATTATATTGAAAACTGTATTCTACATAAGTGTAATTATGTATTATTGCATATATTATTATAATATTGAATATAATTATTCTGCATCACTATTGAATTATATATTATTATTATACAAACCCAACATTGAATATTATATTCTGCATCGTTATTGAATTATATATTATTATATTGAAGATTATATTCTATATCATTACTGAATTATATTATTATTATTATTATTATACAAACCCAACATTGAATATATTCTGCATAGTTATTGAATTATATATTATTATATGAAAGATTATATTCTATATAATTATTGAATTATATTATCATACAAACCCAACATTGAATATTAGATTCTGCATCATTTATGAATTATATATTATTATTATATCAAAGATTATATTCTATATCATTATTTAAATATATTATTATACAAACTCAACACTGAATATTAGATTCTGCATAGTTATTGAATTATATATTATTATTATTATATCGAAGATTATATTCTATATCATTATTGAATTGTATTATTATTATTATTATTATTATTATTATTATACACACCCAACATTGAATATTATCTTCTGCATAGTTATTGAATTATATATTATTATATCGAAGATTATATCATTATTGAATTATATATTATTATTATATCAAAGATTATATTCTATATCATTATTGAATTATATTATTATTATACAAACCCAACACTGAATATTATATTCTGCATCATTATTGAATAAATTATTATTATTATACAAATCATTGAATATTATATTCTGCATAGTTATTGAATTATATATTATTATATCGAAGATTATATTCTATATCATTATTGAATTATATTATTATTATACAAACCCAACACTGAATTATATTCTACATAGTTATTGAATTATATATATTATTATTATTATTATTATATCGAAGATTATATTCTATATCATTATTGAATTATATTATTATTATTATTATTATACAAACCCAACATTGAATATATTCTGCATAGTTATTGAATTATATATTATTATATGAAAGATTATATTCTATATAATTATTGAATTATATTATTATACAAACCCAACATTGAATATTATATTCTGCATCATTATTGAATTATATATTATTATATTGAAGATTATATTCTATATCATTATTTAAATATATTATTATACAAACCCAACATTAAATATTAGAGTCTGCATAGTTATTGAATTATATATTATATGAAAGATTATATTCTATATCATTATTGAATTGTATTATTATTATTATTATTATTATTATACAAACCCAACATTGAATATTATATTCTGCACCATTATTGAATTATATATTATTATTATTATTATTATTATTATTATTATTATTATATCGAAGATTATATTCTATATCATTACTTAATTATATTATTATTATTATTATTATTATTATTATTATTATTATTATTATTATTATTATACAAACCCAGAACCAAGAGTTCCAGTTGAGGAGAAAAAGGCCCTTTCCTGACTGAACTTTGCACTAAGCGCCACGCCCAAGATGGCGGATTCGAGTCAACACGTCGAGAGTCTCATTCCCCTCACTGGCCTATAGCAGAAGGAAGACTCCCGCAGCTGCCATCTTGGGTGTGGAACTTTACCTGAGTTGTTTGGTCACGCCCAAGATGGCGGATTGACGTCACCACGTCGAGCGTCTCATTCCCCTCAGTGGCTTATAGCAGGAGGAGGTCTCCCGTGGCCGCCAGCTTGAGTGTGTCATTTTCTTTTACTGGGCTTCCTCACGCCCAAGATGGCGCCTACGGCAAGCGCTAGGAGGCCCTTATAGTCGGCCGTCTCCTTAGCGACGCCTACCGGAAGTAGGATAGGCGCAAAAGGCGTTCGCGGCTTGACAGAAAAAGAAAAAGTCGTTCTCGCGCCGCTGCGGCCTTGCCATGAGAGGAGGTAACCCAACAATAGTAATACCTTGTGAGTTTGATAGGACTCCAACTCCCGGCGTGCATCGCGGCAGAAGAGGGCCCCTTTTGGGCGACGGGGTGCCGCATGTCCTCATGGGGCTTGTAGTTCACATGCCCTCCTTTGATTTCCTTGGCCTCAGAAGAGTCTGGGAAGGAGGGATTGGGAAGAATTTGCATATGCTAATGAGGTGGGACCCGAATCTCTAGTGAGAGGGCCACTTCATGCGCAATATTTAAATAATTTAATGCAAATTTCCCTGGGATCCAACTCCTAGAGTTGGAAGGGACCCCCAAAGGCCATCTAGCCCAGCCCCCTCTATTATTATTGTAATTATTGTATATTATTATTATATACTGTTAGTATTATATGTTTTATATATGAGATCCCTGGAGTTGCTAAGGACCTCCCAAAGGCCATCTATTCCCTCCCCCACTATTATTATTATTATTATTATTATTAGACTTCTAGAGTTGGAAGGGCATCCAAAGGCCATCTAGTCCAGCCCCCTCTATTATTATATTATTGTTATATTATTATTATTATTATTAGACTTCTAGAGTTGGAAGGGAACCCAAAGGCCATCTAGCCCAGCCCCCTCTATTATTGTTATTATTGTATATTATTATTATTATATATTGTTAGTATTATATGTTTTATATATATATATTATGAGACCCCTGGAGTTGCTTGGGACCTCCCAAAGGCCATCTATTCCATCCCCCACTATTATTATATTATTGTTGTTGTTGTTGTTATTATTAGACTTCTAGAGTTGGAAGGGATCCCCAAAGGCCATCTAGTCCAGTCCTTTCTATTGTTGCTGTTATTGTTACTGTATATAATTATTATATATTGTTAGTATTATATGTTTTATATATAGTATGAGACCCCTGGAGTTGCTAGGGACCTCCCAAAGGCCATCCAGTCCAGCCCCCTCTATCGTTATATATATATATGTGTGTGTGTGTGTGTGTGTGTGTATATATGTACAGTATATTCTGGCGTATAAGACTACTTTTTAACCCAAGAAAATCTTCTCAAAACTCAGGGGTCATCTTATACGCGGGTGTAGTCTTATGCATGGGAGTCGTCTTAACTCTATATTTTAACTGGAAAAATTGGGGGTCGTCTTATACGCCCAGTCGTCTTATATGCCGGAATATACGGTATGTATGTATATATAGTGTGTGTGTCTGTGTATATATAGGGATCTCTAAAGGCCATCCATTCCAGCTCCCTGTATGATTATATTGTTATATTATTATTATTATTATTATTATTATTATTATTATTATTATATAATTATAATTATTAAACTTCTAAAGTTGGAAGGGACTCAAAGGCCATCCGGTCCAACCCTCTTCTGCCAGGAAAGAAGATAGAATTATTATTATTATTATTACATATTATTATTATTATTATTCTCTTAGAGTTGGCAGGGACTCCCAAAGGCCATCCAGTCCAACCCTCTTCCTCCTGCCAGGAAGGAAAATAGAATTCCTGTTACATTATTTCCTATATGATTGTTATTATTATTGAATTACTATTACATATTATTATCCATTATATTATTATTATATATTATCATTAGACTTTTAGAGTTGGAATGGATTCCAAGGACCATCCAGTCCAATCCCTTTCCACCAGGAAGGTAGAATTACTATTATACAATTATCTATAATACTACTACTACTAATAATAGCTATTTTATTATTATCCATTATCAGTTGTTTTATGATGATGATGTGGGTGATGATGATGATTATTACCTTTAGGCTCTTAGAGTTGGAAGGGACCCCAAAGATAATCCAGTCCAACCCCCTTCCGCCAGGAGGGAAGATAGAACTACTATTATATTATTATCCATTATTATTATTATTATTATTATTATTATTTTACAATTAATAATATTATTGAATTATTATTATTATTGAATTACAATTAATATTATTATTGAATTATTATTATTGAATGAATATTAATATTATTATTGAATTGTATTATATTTATTATTATTATTATTATTATTATTATTATTATTATTATTATTTGACTCATACAGTTGGAAGATATCCCAAGGATCATCTACTCCAATCCCCTAACGCCAGGAATAATTTTTTTATTAAATTATTATCATCATTATCATTATCATTAGTTTTGGAAGAGAGCCCAAGGGCCATCCAGTCCAACCCCATTCTGCCAATCAGCACAATCAAAACCCTCCTGACAAATGGCCACCCAACCTTTGTCCTCCATTTCTGCCTAATACCGCCTCTCTGCTTCCTTCCAGCAAACCAGATGTTCTTCTTTTTTATTATTTCACAGTCGTCAGCAGCTTATCACCATGAAGAAGAATGAAGTTGGCCTTTGCTTCTGCTTGTTCTGCTTATCCCTTGCATCGCCGGCTGTTTGCGGTGAGTTCTCTTTTCCTGGGGATTTCCTGGGGATTTCCTGGGAATCCAGCTTTCAAAGCACAAAATACACACACACACACATGTATATGTATATGTCGAAATCATTAAAAGGCAGGTCCTTTGAAAAGAGTCTCATGACTTCCTTAATGAGTCACACGTTTTTTGGTGGCTTGTCTAATGGATCGCACAGAGGGCCTTGGAGAAGTGTTTGAAGGCTTAAAGCCAATAATAATAATAGTAATAATTATAATCATAATAGACAGTTGGTGTTATTTTGTGACAATATATGTGTGTATAATATAATGTTATATGTATACATATATATAATAAATATTATACATGATATATATTATATACTAAATTTATTATTTACTTTTTATCTATATAAATAAAAATGTAATGTTCGTTTGTGGGATTAACAGAACTCCGAAACCACTGGACGAATTGACACTAAATTTGGACACAAGACACCTAACGACCCAATGTATGTCCTTCACTCAAAAAAATTGATTTTGTCATTTGGGAGTTGTAGTTGCTAGGATTTATAGTCCACCTACAATCAAAGAGCATTCTGAACCCCACCAACGATGGAAGTGAACCAAACTTGGCACACAGTTCTCCCCTGACCAACAGAAAATACTAGAAGGGTTTGCTGGGCAGTGTCCTTTGGTTTTGGAGTTGTAGTTCACCTACATCCAGAGATCACTGTTGACTCAAACAATAATGGATCTGGACCAAACTCTACACAAATGCTCCATATGCCCAAATGTGAACACTGGTGGAGTTTGGGGGAAATAGAATCTTGACATTTGGGAGTTGTCGTTGCTGGGATTTATAGTTCACCTTCAGTCAAAGAGCATTCTGAACCCCACCAATGATAGAATTGGTCCAAACCTCCCACACAGAACCCCCATGTGGGCCACAGCAACACCTGGTAGGGGACGGCTAGTATATAAATAAAAATGTAATATTCATTTGTAATATTCATTAACATAACTCAAAAACCACTGGGCGAAATGACACCAAATTTGGAAATTATACATCTATCAGGCCAATGAGTGACCATCACTCATAAAAACACTAAAAATACAGCTGAAGGGGCTTAAAAAGCAAAAAAAAAGTTACAACACATTCACAAAACCACACACACACACACACACACACATATACATATATATATACACACACACACAAACACACATATACACAAATATATACACATACATTTACACAGACTGGACCACAGCAATATGTGGCAGGGGGCGGCTAGTACATTATATATATTATACACTAAATATATTATATACTTTATATTATATACTATATATATATATATATATATATATATATATATATATATATATATATATATATAGTAATAACATATATGGTTTTATTTTGCTGCAACAGTTATCCATTCTGTGCCTGAAAATGCATAGAAGAGGAAGTATATGTAACAGATATAATATTATGTGTGTGTGTGTGTGTGTGTGTGTATATATATAGGGTGTATGTATGTTTATATGTATATATAAATGATTTCAGCATATATATATATGTATATATGTATATATGTGTGTGTATATATTTAACATGCGTGTATATAATAATAATAATAATAATAATAATAATAATAATAATAATAATAATATATTTATAACCCACCCTATCTCCCCAAGGGGACTCACAATATACTCTCTCTCTCTCTCTCTCTCTCTCTCTGGTTTAGTTTTGCTGCAACAGCAATCCATTCTGTGCCTGAAAATTCATATGATAAGGAGTGTATGTAGCAGATACAATATAATTTGTAATACAATATATACAATTTATTATATTATAATATATTGTATATATTATGCATTATGTTGGCTATGCACACTATAATCTAATCTATGGTGTTATTTTGCAACAACAGTTTTCCATCTCCTGCCTGAAAATGCAAATAAGAGGAAGTGCATGGAGCAGATATATATGTGTGTGTTTGTGTCATATATGTATATATATAGGGGCCCCGACCCATAATTTAAGACTCACTGCACCAGAGGACCTAGAAAGACCCATATTTGTATTTGGAATCACAGTTTTGTTGTGCTTGTTTCTAAAGGAACTGCAATTCTCAACGTGCCTGAACAGGTTTCCTTAGAAAATGGCAGCTCGAAGGACATCTCAGTGACCTTAAGGTGAGCTTTTGGAGAAAGGTGGAAGGAGTTCCAGATACCTCAATTGCAGGTTTTGTAAACTGCCTTAAGGCCTCGGATGAAGGAGGGAAGAGTGGAGCTCCAGAGACCTCCATTTTATAGTTTTTAAACTGCAATGCCTTCAAAGAAAGGAGGAGGGAGGGAGGAGAGAAGAGTGGAGCTCCAGACAACTCTATTTTTATAGTTTTGAAACTGCCTTGCCTTTGGAGAAAGAAAGAAGGGAGGAGAGAAGAGTGGAGCTCCAGAGGCTGCCATTTTATAGTTTTAAAACTACATTGCCTTCAGAGAAAGGAGGGGGAAGGCAAGAGAGAAGAGTGGAGCTCCAGAAACTTCAATTTTATAGTTTCTAAACTGTCTAAAAGGCTCAGGGAAAGAAGGGAGGAGAGAAGAGTGGAGCTCCAAAGCCCTTCATTTTATAGCTTTTAAACCACATTGCCTTCAGAGAAAGATGGGAGGAGAGAAGAATGGAGTTCCAGAAAATGCTATTTTATAGTTTTTAAACTGTCTTAAAGGTTCAGAGAAAGAAGGGAGGAGAGAAGAATGGAGCTCCAAAGACCTTAGTTTTGTAGTTTTTAAAACCATGTTGCCTTCCAAGAAAGAAGGAAGGTGGGAGGAGAGAAGAGTGGAGCTCCAGAGATCTCAATTTTCTAGTTTTGAAACTGCCTTGCCTTTGGAAAAAGAAGGAAGGAGAGAGGAGAGAAGAGTGGAGCACTAGAGACCTCCATTTTATAGTTTTTAAACTACCTTGCCTTCTGAGAAATCAGGAAGGTGGGAGAAGAGAAGAGTGGAGCTCCAGAGACATCCATTGTGTTGTTTTTAAATTGAAGAAAGAGGAAAGGAAATGAGACTCAACCCTAAATGGTTCTGCAGTTTTAAAAAAACCAACCAAACAGATCATCCCTTCTCCTCCTCCTCTTTCAGAGATAAGGCATTTTATTTATCAAAACAACAAGAACAGAAACCAGAGACTCAAAGGCAGATTTTGTTTTCATCACGTAACAGTCGCGCCCTGCTTTTTTCTGAAAGCTGCAACTATTATACACCAAAATGCGGTAATTCACTGTATTCCTTTGTCATCTATTGCTTCTCTATCTCAGCACTCCGCTCAACGAGACACTGGGCATCTCATTCAACGTGACATATTCGTCCAAGGAGAACCTCACCATTGTCGAACTGCCAGCAGAAGTAAGCTACGAAGGAGCACCGAGCTCTTGCTTTTATTTCTCATTTTTTGCTTTCAAAACAAAACCTTCTAATGTATCTATTCCAGGTGATCGTCGCAGCAGGCCTGCGGACAGGGCACTTCCGGGTGAGAGCCAAAAACGTCGGGCAGGTGACCATCTACCTTCAGAGCAATGCCTCCAACCAAACCGGGTAAGCTTCCTGGGGTTGATTCTTCTTTCCTTTCCTCTTTCTTTGAAGGCCTTAAGGTAGTTTAAAAACTATAAAATGGAGGTCTCTGAAGCTCCATTCTTTTCTCTTCCCTCCTTTCTCCGAAAGCAAGGCAGTTTATAAAATTGGTCTCTGGGGCTCCACTCTTCTCTCCCCCTTCCTTCCTTTCTCTGAAGGAAAGGCAGTTTAAAAACTATATGGAGTTATCTGGAGCTCCACTCTTCTCTCCTCCCTCCTTCCTTCTTTCTTTGAAGGAAAGGTAGTTTAAAAACTATATGGAGTTATCTGGAGCTCCACTCTTCTCTCCTCCTTTCTTCCTTTTTTCTTTGAAGGAAAGACAGTTTAAAACTATAAGATGGCGTTATCTGGAGCTCCACTCTTCTCTCCTTCCTTCTTTCTCTGAAGGAAAGGCAGTTTAAAAACTATAAGATGGAATTATCTGGAGCTCCACTCTTCTCTCCTTCCTCCTTCCTTCTTTCTCTGAAGGAAAAGCAGTTTAAAAACTATATGGAATTATCTGGAGCTCCACTCTTTTCTCCTCCTACATTCAGAGTAACGCCTCCAACCAAGCCAGGTGAGCTTCCCAAATAAAACGGAAGCTGCCTGGCTTTCCCAAAAGATTTGTTCCCATTCCACACTGTCGCCGTGTCTTTCGCAGGCCCAGGATCCGCTTCCTTGTTCTTCACAGCGAGGCAGTGAGAATTGTGGACCAGGTGATCGGGTGGATCTACTTCCTGGCCTGGTCGATCTCTTTCTACCCGCAGGTGTTTGAGAACTGGAAGCGGAAAAGGTGAGGTGCCACCTGTTTTACGAGATATGCGGTGTTTGGGCCTCCAACTCCCATAAGCCTACACCAGCTTGTCCAATGGCTAGGGCTGTAGGTTGAAGAAGGAATTTGATCCAAACCCAAAAACAATCTCTGCTAGGCAGATGACAAGAAGGCAAAGAGGAAGGCTGGGCAGATGTGAGAAAACTGTGGGGTTCTATTTTGCAGTGCAGTGCCATGGATATGCAGATGACTCACAACTCTGCTAGATATCTATTATTATTATTATTATTATTATTATTATTATTATCCCAGCATCTACCAATCCCCATGGATGTTTACATTATTGTTGTTGTTGTTATCATCGGATACACAACAAGATTAGCACAAAGCAAACTAGACACTATGCTGGCTTTTGTATTTGTTTGCACGTCGGACCTTTCCCAAGTCTCTGTGTGATGTATCGGCGAATAATGCGTGAAGATCTGAATAGGGTAGCCTTTTGCTGCTGACAGATGGTAATTTTGTCAGCGCCAATTGTTTTTAAGTGCAGGCCAAGGTCTTGAGGCACTGTGCCAATTATTATTATTATTATTATTATTATTATTATATCAGCATTTACCAATCCAATGGATGTTGTTGTTGTTATTAATATTATTACTATTTCAGCATCTACCAATCCCATGGAAGTCTACTGTATTGATTATTATTAGTATTATTATTATTTCAGCATCTACCAATCCCATGGATGTCTACTGTATTGATGATGATATTATTATTATTCCAGCATCTCCCAATCTCCTCAAATGTCTACTATATTATTTTTAATATTATTTCATCATCAGATTATATGGGGTTGTGGGCTTCCATACATTTTGCATTCAAACTCTTGCCGTTATGTGTTGGTTTGTTTTCCCAGCGTTGTGGGTCTCAGCTTTGACTTCATTGCTTTGAACTTGACCGGCTTCATCGCCTACAGCGTCTTCAATGTCGGGCTCTTCTGGATTCGTCCCGTGAAGGTAGGCCGAGAGCAGGATGCCTCCACGTAAACGGGGACTCTAAAGCCCATCTGCCTGGTGGCACAATTCCTGTCCTTCCTTCTTTAGGAGCAGTTTCTAAGCCGGTACCCCAATGGGGTGAATCCTGTGGACAGCAACGACGTCTTCTTCAGCCTCCATGCCGTGGCCGTGACTCTGATCATCATACTGCAGTGCATTCTCTACGAGGTAACTGCGCTCTCCATCCCTTTAGTTTCTGCGCTGCATGATGTCCGCTGTGTCCTCACCACTTGTGTTCCTTCCTCTGCAGAAAGGGGAGCAAAGAGTCTCCCCAATCGCTATTGGGCTGCTGGTTGTCGGCTGGATTTTCATCTTCGCCACCTTGTCGGCGGCAGCCGCCGGGGCCGTCACCTGGCTGCAGTTCCTGTTTTATTTCTCCTACATCAAGCTGGCCGTCACACTCACCAAATACTTCCCGCAGGTGAGCTGGGCAGGTGGTCCCTTGTCCTAATGTTAATGCAAAGTGCCTGCATATATATATATGCTTAAGTATAAGCCGACCCAAATATAAGCCGAGGCACCTAATTTTACCACAAAAACTGGGAAAATGTATCGACTCAAGTATAAGCCGAGGGTGGGTGGCAAGGACCTAACACAGCGTTTCTCAACCTGGGGGTCGGGACTGCTGGGGGGTCACGAGGGGGTATCAGAGGGGTCACCAAAGACCATCGGAAAACACAGTATTTTCTGTTGGTCATGAGGATTCTGTGTGGGAAGTTTGACCCAATTCTATCATTGGTGGGGTTCAGAATGCTCTTGGATTGTAGGTGAACTATAAATCCCAGCAACTACAACTCCCGAATGTCAAGGACTATTTTCCCCAAATTCCACCAGTGTTCACATTGAGTATTCATGCCAAGTTTGGTCCAGATCCATCATTGTTTGAGTCCACAGTGCTCTCTGGATGTAGGTGAACTACAACTCCCAAACTCAAGGTCAATGCCCACCAAACCCTTCCAGTATTTTCTGTTGGTCATGAGAGTTCTGTGTGCCAAGTTTGGTTCAATTCCATTGTTGGTGGAGTTCAGAATGCTCTTTAATTGTAGGTGAACTATAAATCCCAGCAACTACAACTTCCAAATGATAAAATCAATTTTGTTTGAGTGAAGGACATACATTGGGTTGTTAGGTGTCTTGTGTCCAAATTTGGTGTCAATTTGTCCAGTAGTTTTTGAGTTATGTTAATCCCACAAACAAACATTACATTTTTATTTATATTCATTTGTATACCGCCCCTCTCAGCCCAGAGGCGACTCAAGGCGGTTTCAAATGCTCAAACTTCCGTACAGTGGCCCTTATTTCTCATGCCAGTAAGGTAATGCTCAAGACCCTGCAAGGTAGACTCCAGCAATACATGGAGGGAGAGTTGCCAGATGTACAAGCTGGGTTTAGAAAAGGCAGAGGAACGAGAGATCGAACCCAGGTCAGGAGACATTGGGCGACCGGACGGATTTCCGGCGTCCATTTTGGAGATCAAGGCCGGGCTTTGACCCTCTCCTTTGTCCGCTCCCTCTCTCTTCCAGGCCTACCTGAATTACCGCCGGAAGAGCACCAAAGGCTGGAGCATTGGCAACGTCTTGCTGGACTTTGTGGGCGGCAGCTTCAGCTTGATCCAGATGTTCCTGCAGTCCTACAACAACGGTAAGTCAACCTCGCTTTCGCCTTTCGGCTGCAAGATTGGGGCAGTTTCTTACCATTTGGAGGGTGAAAACCACCCCTGAATTGTGCTTTGAGGGCCATAAAATGGCAATTCCCGTACCCAGAAACCCCATTTTCCTGACCCTAAGGTGGTTGGGTTTTAGCCTGTGGTCATCTTGTCCTTGTTTTGACTCCAATCTTTTCTTAAGATGCCTGGAAGCTGGTCTTCGGGGACCCCACCAAGTTTGGTCTCGGTTTCTTCTCCATCCTCTTTGACATAGTCTTTATCGTCCAGCACTACTGCTTGTATCGGACCAGGGAATATCACAACATTGACTAAACATCTTCCCGCCCCACAAAGGACGTATTTGGCGGCAGGAACGAGGCCTTGCCAAAGGACAACAATGCAATCGTTGTGGAATTGCCTTCAGCTGCCTTCTTATCTCCGTTGCTCGTGTTCGACAAGGCGGGTGAAAAGACCCGGCGACGTCCAGAAAAGAAATGGCCCAGTTTTGGTTTCTCCTGCCCAAAGAAGGCAGATCTGAACCACGTCCTGCCAACACAACATCAAACAGAGCTCTTTCTTCCTGGGGTATCCTCAATAAATTTTCCTATTTTCCAAAAACGGTCTGTTTCCATATTCCCTTTTTAATATAAATATCGCCAATCACATATGAACATATGAGCCTATTTCGTGACAGCCTTTCCAGCAGTGATTCAAATATTTTTTATCTAATTTAATCTAGCCGGGGTGGCCCAGTCTGTGTATATGTGTTTTGTGTGTGTATATGTGTATATATGTGTGTTTGTGTATATATGTGGTTTTGCGCTTGCGTTGTAATGTATTTTTTTTGTTTTTTGGCTTTTTAAGTCTCTTCTGCTGTTTTTCAGTGTTTTATGAGTGGTGGTCACTGGTTGGCCTCTTAGGGGTGTAGTGTCCAAATTTCATGTCRATTCGTCCAGTGGTTTTTGCGTTATGTTAATCCCACAAACRAACATTACATTTTTATTTATATAAGACTAGCTGTCCCCTGCCAYGCGTTGCTGTGGCCCAGTCTGTTGATCTGGAAAATAAAGGGAATGAGAAAGTTTTGGTTTCTAATATATGTAATATCTTTGTGCTTGTGGGTAAACAGTATTTCTTGCTTTTTATTTGTCAGTGTTGATGTGGAGATTGTCTGGTTTGCCTMCTCTGGAACAAACAACATATCATTGTCCTTCTTTTGGGTCCCTTTCAAATCTATGATACTATATCTCTGTGTGTGTGAATYATATCTATCTCTCTATCTATCTATATCTATGGCTGGATGGCTCTTTGTCAGGAGGGYTTTGATTACATTTTCTTGCCCTGGTGAAGAGAGTTGGATTGGATGGCCTTAAGTATTTTTTGTTGGTCATGGGGGTTCTGTGTGGGAAGTTTGCCCCGATTCTGTTGTTCGTGGGGTTCAGAATGCCCTTTGATTGTAGGTGAACTCTAAATCCCAGCAACTACAACTCCCAAATGTCAAGATTCTATTTTTCCCAAACTCCATCTGTGTTCATATTTGGGCGTGTTGAGTATTTGTGCCAAGTTTGGTCCAGATCCATCATTGTTTGAGTCCACCATGCTCTCTGGATGTAGGTGAACTACAACTCCCAAACTCAAGGTCAATGCCCACCAAACCCTTCCAGTATTTTCTGTTGGTCATGGGAGTCCTGTGTGCCAAGTTTGGTTCAATTCCATCGTTGATGGAGTTCAGAATGCTCTTTGATTGTGGTTGAACTATAAATCCCAGGAACTACAACTCCCAAATGACAAAATCATAATTTTTGAGTGATGGTCACTCCTTGTGTTGTGAGACGTTTTGTTGCCAAATTTGGTGTGATTTCGTTCATTGGTTCTTTTGTTTTTAAGGAACTCATTATGACCAGAGCGTTTTTATATAGATAGATAACAGTACATTTATTACAAATATATATAATTCTATTATATTACAAATAAAATATTAATATTAACACATCATTATTGCTAAATTAGATTTCATTTCATTAATTATAGGGTTATTATATATTACAATATATTTAGTTATTACAATAAATATATTACAAATATATATAACTTTATTATATTACAAATATATTGTTAATATTAGCATATTATTACTAAATTATGTTTCATTTTATTAATTATAGTATTATTATTATATATAACAATGTATGTTTAGTATTACCAATCATTCCTCTTCGAGGAGGCCACGCCCCCTTGGTTTTCAAAGGACGTTCCATTCAGCCTTGGAAGCCACGCCCCCGGAGTTGCTCAGGCCACGCCCCTATAAGCTATTGCTTCCCGCTCTGGGGAACCACGCCCCCTAACTCCTCCGCCAATCATTCCCCTTGGTTGTCAAAGGACGCGCCCCTTCTGCTACATTCAGCCTTGGAGAGCCACGCCCCCTTTCAGCGATTGCTCCCAGTTCTGGGGAGCCCCGCCCACTAACGCCAAGCCCCGCCCCCGTGTTTACAACGGACACGCGGCGAGAGTTCTGCTCCTCAGCTCCCTCCTTCTCCCTAACTTGGCACAATGAGAAACCGTTCTAAAGGGGCCCCCCAAAGGCCAGCCAGTCCAACCCCCTTCTTGTCGCCAGGCGGAGAAAGCACCATCAAGGCCCTCCCGAGAGATGCTCATGCAGCCTCATAAACTTTAGTGCAGGTATGCCCAAACTTGGGTCCTCCCTGCAGGTTTTCTTTGGATTTCAACTCCCAAATTCCCAGCAGCCTCACAGGCATGGCCAAACTCTGGTCCCCCCTCCAGGTGCTTTGGACTTCAACTCCCAGAATTCCTAACAGCTTCATTATTATTATCAATTAGCTTGGGGAGCCAGCGGTGCCCGGTTTTTTTGTGAAGGGCGTTGCGTGCCAAGGTTGGTCTTTATCAGTTATTTATGTGGATCAGAGAAGAAAGGTACTGCAAGTCCCATCGTCCATGGTACATCCTCCTCCAAACTGCAGCAGGATGTAGAGTGGGTCCTGGGGGCTCCGTGTGCCAAGTTTGGTCTTGACCAGTAATTGGATGAGAGCTGCAACGGTCTCAGAAAGTGAGTGGAGGTACTTCAAGTCCCATCATCCATGTTCTGCCCTCCTCCAAACTGCAGTAGGATGTAAAGTGGGGCTCTGTGTGCCAAGTTTGGTCTTTATCGGTCTTTGTTGGGGGGTGCAATGGTCTGTGGGAACCAAAGGATTAGAAAATACTACAAGTCCCATCATCCATTGTCTGTCCTCCCCCAAACCTTAACAGGATGTAAAGGGGTTCCTGGGGGCTATGTGTGCCAATTTTGGTTTTGATGAGGCATTGGATGAGGGTCGCAGCGGTCTCAGAAAGTGAATGGAGGTACTTCAATCCCATCATCCATTGTCCATCCTCCAAACTGCATCAGGATGTAGTATGGGTTATGGGGGCTCCGTGTGCCAAGTGTGGTCTTGATCAGTCATTGGACGAAGGTCGCAGTGGTCTCAGAAAGTGAGGTGAGGTACTGCAAATCCCATCATCCATAGTCTGTCCTCCCCCAAACCACACCAGAATGTTGAGGTTGGCCATGAGGTCTCTCTGTGCCAAGTTTGGTCTTTATTGGTAATTGGGTGAGTGTCGCTGTGGTCTCAAGAAATGAGTGAAGGTACTGCATTTCCCATCATCCGTGGTTCATCCTCCTCCAAACTGCAGCAGGATGTAGAGTGGGTCATGGGGCTCTGTGTGCCAAGTTTGGTCTTGATCTGTCATTGGTGTGGGCCACAGTTGTCTGTGGTTGCCCAAGCGTTTTAAAGTACTACAAACCCCATAATCCGTGGTCCACCTCCCCCAAACCGCACCAGGACGTAAAGTGGATCATAGGGTTTATGTGTGCCAAATTTGGTCCAGGCCCGTCGCTCATGCACATCAAAGTGGCCTCTGAAAGTGGCAGCCAATCAGAAAGATGCCACATACAAACATAAACACATATATACAAACATTCTCTTTTATTATATATACAGATATAGATATCATATCATATAAAGATTATTATTAATATTATCAATTACAATATAACTATTATATTAATTATATTATAATTATTATTCATAAAAGAAAGCACATTTGGCACAATAAGAAACTGTTGTAAGGGGGTCCCCCAAAGGCCATCCAGTCCAACCCCCTTCTTTCCACCCAAAGGGAAAAGAACCATCAAAGCCCTCCTGACAGATGCCCATGCAGCCTCATAGACATTAGTGCAGACATAGGCAAACTTGGGTCCTCCCAAAGGCCATCCAGTCCAACCCCCTTCTTTTCGCCAGGTGGGGAAAGCACCATCAAATCCCTCCTGAAAGACGGCCATCCACCCTCATAAACATTAGTGCAGGCATGAACAAACTTGGGTCCTCCCAAAGGCCAGCCAGTCCAACCTCCTTCTTTTCTTCAGGTGGGGAAAGCATCATCAAAGCCCTCCTGAAAGATGGCCATCCACCTTCATAGACATTAGTGCAGGCATCTCATTGAATCCTAGAATGAGAAGGTTCCCCATCCAGTTCATCCCTATGTATGTATGTATCTCTGTCTGTCGATCTATCTCACTATCAAGGAGCCCCCAGTGACACAATGGGTTAAAACCCTGTGCTAAAGGTTGACAGTTAGAATCTGGGCAGCGGGGTGAGCTACCGTCTGTCAGCTCCAGCTGCTCAGTCAGGGACATGAGAGAAGCCTTCCGTAGGATAATAACACATCTGGGTGTCCCTGTGTCCCCTGGGCAATGTTCTTGCAGGCGGCCAGTTCTCTCACACCAAAAGTGACTTGAGGTTTCTTAAGTCACTCCGGACATGAATGAATGAATAGGTCCTTGAGTTAACCAAGATGCACTGGTCTATTATTATTATTATTATTATTATTATTATTATTATTATTTTAGTGACACAAAAGTACAGTATGTCACAGCAAATGAGATCTCTATGCTGGATTTTGTATCACAAAATCACAAGTCAAACACTTCCCAAGCGTCTAGGACTGTGTGATGTATTATTATTATTATTATTATTATTATTAGTAGTAGTAGTAGTAGTAGTAGTAGTAGTAGTAGTATGGTTGGGTCTTTGAGTTAATTGAATATACACTAGATAATAATAATAATAATAATAATAATAATAATAATAATAATAATAATAATAACAACTATTATTAATGGGTTCTTGAGTTAACCAAGAGTACACTGGTCTATTATTATTATTATTATTATTATTATTGGATCCTTGTCTTGACTGAGAGCACTCTGGTTTATTATGATTATTAGTTTTATTATTATGGTTGAGTCCTTGAGTTAATTGAGAGTGCACTGAATTATTATTATTATTATTATTTTATTATTATTATTATTATATTTGGGTCCTTGAGTTAACTGTGGCTGCACTGGTTTATAATTATTATTTTACTGACACAAAAGCACAGTATGTCACAGCAAACGAGATCTATATGCTGTATTTCGTATCAAAAATCACAAGTCGAACACTTCCCAAGTGTCTAGGACTGTGTGACGTATATCACACAACAACAACAATAATAATAATAATAATAATAATAAACCAGTGCAGCCTCAATTAACTCAAGGACCCAAAATAATAATAATAATA